TGTTATTTACTTGACTGCGCAGTGAAATGTTCCTACCGTATTTAAACTAGGCAGCTGAATCCGTGTGTTTGTGGGATGCAATTTTTTTTTTATCTTGCTTTTGTCGGGGGCCCTGAAAATAGCTGGGCCACAAATGTGGCCATAAAGGCTGAAAGGGGTTTTTGGGACCTCTCCACGGGCGATCTTCATTCGCATGGTGACACTTTGTGTCACCGGGTGTTTATCGCTTGTGTGATGTCCTAGTAGAGTACAAAAAGCAAGCAATCCGTGTGGTTTGCTACAGAATAGTTGTACAACACTGGCACAACTATGTTTATCATAGTAATAGGATAATTGTTATACTAAGCGTTGATAGGCACTCGTATAAGACCATAAGACAGAATGTGTTTTTAGACGCCAACAGACAGACAAACCACACACAAAAGTACAAGACATAAATAATTATTAGGGGGCACTCGACAGCAGAAAAATTGAAATATTAAAGCATTATAAGAGGGCACTAGGAATGACAAGTTGAAAAAAATAATAAGTATTTTAAGCGCGTTAGATAAGAGATAACGCGAAAGACTGAATTAATCACTAGAGGGCGCTAGATAACATAATGAAATACTGAATGACTTTTTAAAGGGCGTTAGATAACAGGCAAAGTGAGAAAAAAAAGAATTCATCACTATAGGGCGCTAGATTTTTTTTTTTTTTTTAACGTGAAAAACTGAATGACTATTGGTACAACTCACGTTTTCAGTCCCACCGACTGAACATTTTCAGTCCCACTGACACCGTGATTGGCCAATCATTGATGTGTCTCAACCTTTTACCCAAAGACTTTCTCTTACAGGGACGTCAGGTTGCATAGTCTCCTACACCAGTGTTTCCCAAACTTTTCTTAGTAGGGGCGCCTTTTTTCCATTAAAATTTTTCCACGGCACCTTAACCTAAGTAAAAGTATGACTGTTCGTATGTAAGAGATTAAAAAAGAAAAAAAAAAACTCGTGTATCTTCGAATATTTTGCGGCACTCCCGTGAAGAGGTCGCGGCTCGATAGGGCGTCCAGTTTGGGAAATACTGTCCTACACTCACAACGGCAATTTCCCAGCGTTCCATACTACATGATGTTACCGCTACTTTTAACGACACCTTAACTTCTACAACTGGCCCTAACTCCAACACCCCTAGGGGACAGTCTCAGCCTAGGTCCCATGAGAGAGTGCATTCTAAACTGACACCACTGTAAGAGAAAGTCGCGCTTGTGAAAGGTTACGACGCATCAATGAACTACCAATCACGGTGTCGTTGGGCCCGAAATGTGAGTAGTTTCTGACTATTTAAAAGGCGTTAGAAAACAAGGTACAACTCACGTATTCGGGCCAAAGGACGCCGTGATTGATCGTTCATTGATGTGTCTTAACCTTTCACACGCGCGACTTTCTCTTACTGGGGTGTCAGATTGTTTCGTGTTGTATGGTGGCACTCTCTCATCGGAACTAGCTGGGGTTGTCTCCTAGGGAGCGTTAAAGTTGGGGCCAGTTGTAGATATTCTGGGGTCGTTAAAAGTGGCGGTAACATCGTGTAGTATTTAACGCGGGATATCGCCGGTGATAGTGTTGGAGACTATACAACCTGACACCCCTGTAAGAGAAAGTCGCGCATGTGAAAGGTTTAGACTCATCAATGAACGACCAATCACAGCGTCCCTGGGCCCGAAAACGTGAGTAGTACCGAAAACAAAGTGAAAGGGGGCGGCGTTGCAGCAGTCAATAGGAGACTCGCTTTCAAATCCAGCTGCGACTCGCTGCAGCCCACGGCTGGTGTTCGAAACCAGGCGGTTCCCGGGGTTCACCCAGCCTCTAGGTAAGGGGTACCAGAGTTGAGACTCTTGGGTAAATGGAGGAAAGTCGCTTTAGCTACGGAGTTACGTGTGGACGGCGACACAGCCGTACAGTTTTTTTTAACAGCTGTCCGTACCGGTGGCAGAGCACTTATGGTTTATAACCGTGTGCTATGACGCTGGTTCACATCTCCCGACTTTACCATTTTTAACCAAGTGAAAGACAGAAATAATCATTAATGGGCGCTAGATAACAAAGTGAATGATTGAATGAGTAAGTGAAGGGCGCTAGAGACAGAGCGAAATACTGCATGAATCTTTAGAGGGCACTAGATGACAAAGTGAGCGACTAAATGAGTGATCGGAGGGCGCAAGATAACAAAGCGAAATACTAAAGAGATATTTAAAGGGCATTGCGTAACTGACAAAGTGAAAGGCAAAATCAATCAATAGATGGCCCTAGTTGATAAAATTAACAAGTGAATGAGTCATAAGAGGGTGCTAAATAACAAAGTTAAGGGTAGAATGAGACGTGAGGGGACGATAGATGACAAAGTGAAAGACAGATTCAGTCAATAGATGGCGCTAGATGATAAAATGAACAAGTGAAGGAGTCATTGGAGTGTGCTAAATAACAAAGTTAAGGTCAGAATGAGACGTGAGAGGAAGCTA